ATGCAGCAATCTCTACAAACCTATAACGAAAGTCGATCGATACATTAAAGATTGAATTAGTTGTAGTAGATGTAGTAGTAGAAGTATGAGCAGTGATCGGAGAAATTAAGATTTGAAGATGTTAGTCTAGGATTGTAATCCAGTGAAGTGAACTTAAAATGAGAAAGATTAAGGGTGATGAAGAATTCATAAGATTAGGATTTGAGAGAATGGATACACTTGCGTCATTGCAAACAATTTCGAGCCATGTCATTCAGGATCTCTAACCATCGATTACTATAATCTCGCGGACCCCAACCAGATAGTCTACATATAGCGTGATAGATGTATGGATTTGAGTTTTAGCATAAATATGAACATTATCATGTAGATCCACTTAGCTGACGAGTCCCATAAATGAAACGTGATGTATGTTCGTGTATATGATTGGTACTTACTTACTTACTTACGCCTGTTACCCCCAATGGAGCAAAGGCCGCCCACCAGTTTTCTCCAACCAACTCTGTCCTGGGCTTCCTTCTCCAGTTCTGTCCAATGTTTGTTCATTCCTCTCATATCTTTCTCTATTTCTCGGAGTAATGTATTCTTTGGCCTTCCTCTTTTCCTTTTGCCTTGAGGGTTCCATGTGAGGGCTGGTTTGTTCTCTCCCACAGTACGTTGTTGCTGATGGTGTCTGGCCAACGAATACGAAGTATTTTGCGTAGACAGCTGTTAGTAAACACTTGTATCTTCTGGATGATGACTTTGGTAGTTCTCCATGTTTCCGCTCTAGAAGTAGAACTGTCTTGACATTTGTATTGAAAATCCTGATTGGTAACCACAATGTAAATATATCGAAACATTTGACGTAACATATCAGTTGTAGTTTCTAATATTAACAACAGGAGAGAAAAATAAAAAACCCTAAAAAGTAAATTTTTTTCAAAGCTATTGCTAATTTTATTTTAAAAAGCAATTCTTTTTAAAAACATGAGATTTTTACAATTGAGATGCTATCCTTCATAACTTTGTGTAACACTGTTATGAAATCTGAATAAAATTCTAAGTTTTTTGAAAGTTCATATTCTTAATTGACTACAAAATTTTGTTATCTCAACTAGTTATTATCAGATCCTTCTAGTGATAGGATCGTCACTAGTTATGCTTGACACTATTACGGGTTCACGTTAGTCGATCAACGAGAACGAGACAATGAGCCAGCGTCCAGGTAGGCTACCCTGATCCGTTGACTAACGAAAAGTCTTGATAGAGCGTAGAAAGTATATTCTACAAACACCCAGCAAGCACACAAATCGCGTTTATTTATACATCATAGAAACGTCCTTGAGAGAGTCACAAAAATAGCACACTAAAATACACACTAACCAATCACAGCCAATGATTTCCCTGGTGGGAAATGTGATCTCAAGATCAACTGATCAGCCCATGCTCGGAAACATAAAATCTAAAATTAAGACATTTATCAAGCGAGTTCTGGGAATCCAACATCCCCAACATAGTACAGATTTTGTTATTTAAAAGTGACTAAATGTGTAACAAAGTAGTGGAACAGCAATGATAATGCGAAAGGTTTGGACACTGAAAGTATTGTTTAACAAGAGAATGGAAATACTATGATTGAACATCTAGAAAAGAGTGAACGACTCTAAACTATGTCACTCTAATGTATTCACCTATTGATCTGGTAGCCTACATCTATTAATATGGTGGTTCAGACTAACAGTCAATGAATTTATAGACTGATGCTATGGTTGGTTTCCTTCCATCCTCCTATTTGTATACAAGCAAACATCACTTGTCAAGTCAACTTGTCACAAGAATTAATCTGACCTTATAAGCATCTTACTTGTTTGAAGCTTATTTTCACAATATCTTATTATAAAGTCATCATACAATGAATATTGAAGACTGTTAATTGAATGAGATGATTACTCTTGAATGTACAACAGTGATTACGAAGTAACAGTGCACAATTTTCTAAATTCAGTCACTGTAAGCTTTTATAAATGAGAAGAAATCGAATAGACCGATTTACTTGTTGTATGTAACAAAAGCTTTAAGATTGAATATCTTCTGTAAAATAAAAATTTATTTGAAGTAGTCGTTTGAAATTCACTGTTAGTATTTCACAAACAAACTATCAGATAAAAAAATTCAATCTAAAGAGAAGTGGGGGGGGGCAAACATTTTGAAATTTAACTATGATTTCCTGGGAATTACTAGAAATGTTCTTCTTGAATTATTCGATTCTGTCCTAATAAAATGTTAGTGATTACTTATGAAACATAGGTATGGGTTTTCTCGTTGTTTTCTACTAGTTGGCACATTTTTTTAGCATCTGCAGCGTGAAAATTTCTTTTCTCGATAGTAAAATTCTAATCTCTTTCATACTTTTCAATTTCTTTACGCTTCAATGATCATGCTTTTAAGCAGTTCACTGAATATAATTTTGTAATAATGTGAAGTTACTACTTGTGTCAAAAAAGTAGTATGGTTCCTTATCGAAAACTTTACTGCTAGGATTATTTAAATAATTTAGGGTTGAGGTCAACAGATATTTACGACATGAATAAATGTGATAAATTAGAAGTACTTCAAATGTACAAAATATCAATCTTTAATGGTTCCTTGAGATTCTAATCTTTTGAATTCTTCATCACCTCTATCTTTCCCTTTATAAATTTATCTCACTGAATTATAATTATTGAATTAATATATTATATCAACTCATTTTTTAAAATTTTCACAGCGTTTTTTAAAAAATAAAAAGAATACTATTTTTTTTTAATTAAATTCTTCTTTAGCAATCGTTTTTAAACAATTACAATTAAGCATATAACTCTAAGGGGATAAAAACATAACCTTTACTCCCTTTTCATTAAAAAAAATTTTTGGCCTTATTGGAGACATGGATCTTTGCATTATCAAGGATAAAAATACAATTCTTAAAGTCTGACTGATTTTTGATTGCATTTTTCAGTCAGTTGATCAAAAAAAATGAATGAACTTATCGGAGTTCATTGAACCAAAAAATGTTTGAGCAAAAAAAACTTCATTTTCTCTATTATTGCGAATATCAAACTTACATTAGTTCCATGTGTTGACGGAATCATGGCACTTGGTGGTTTTGCTCTTGTAGACCTTCCCAAAGTTCTTCTCAAATATAAATTAAAGGATGATTCATCAATAAAAACTTTTATGAAGGAGTCTTCGATATTCATAAAATCTTGTGCATACATCTGTCGTTTAATTTTACTTGATTCTGAGTTGATATTAATCGATGTATAAGGAGATTTTAAGGATTATAAAAAATTTTAAAAAAGACCGTGGTTATTTTAAGAAACGAGTTGAAATACTATATCTTCGAACCCCAATCTTCTCCATTACCACTAATACTTCAACCATCTCTACCACTATGGGATTTGAATTAACAATTACGTCTCTGTGCTAATTATGGTATGGCAACTTGAACTGATTGATGTACGTGCATACGAAGTTCTACGTTTGTCACTGACTGACTGAATTTTAACGGTTATTTGAACTAACATTTAAATGATCACATCTCAGGATGAACATTATTATTTTCACGAGATTGCTGAGTAATAGACCTAATACAGTACTAATGGTATTAGAAAAGATTTGATATAGATTAGATAATTCAAGAATAGCATACGAATTCTTGATATGCTAAAGTGTATAATTTCGAAACTCAAGATATAAGGTATTGAATTCATCTTGCACCATTGTGTAACTGTTATCTTGGTTGATTACGATAAAAGTGCTCAGTCCCATCCCAAATAGTCTAAACCCATCAACACAGTTTATTTCAATAGTCAATAACTTAACAGACTGACATCATGTCTTAGTTCGGTCACCCCTACTCTCCTTTTGATCTATTCCTGCATCAGTAAATACCACATGTCCAAAGCATATAATGACTGGATAAAATGTGTAATACATGTCTTGATCACATTGTTAAGCCAATTTGCCATTTTTATCCTACAATTTTATCTAAATGATTGTAATCATTTAAATCAGTTAATTAGTCTTTTTCTAAATTAATTTTGCATAATAATCACTATAATTTATGAGAATCACTTACTAAAAAAGTTTATACTAATTCGTTTTATTTTCATATTTTATGTATCCTCTAAGCCATTTCAGATTTGTATAGGTCACTTGATTCACGACACCCCTCTAACTGATAACTGTGATTATCGATTGAATAGATTGTTTAATATGATCTACAATCAAGTTCACAATAATTGTATAGTTGTATTCATCACTCTTGACCTTCCAGTATCACTTTATGACATAACTTTTTACTCTTTCTTTTGAAATCATATTCTCAACATTGTTTCTGCCTTTTTTGTTGTTTACTTAATGAACTTAAACTCGTTTTGTACTAAGTGTGTAGTATGAAAACTTTCAATCAGTCAGTTACAACGTAGAACTTTGTACGCACGTACATCAGTTCAGGTTGCCATAACACATTAGTACAGAGACGCAGTTATCAGTTCAAATCCCATATGGGTAGAGATAGTAGAAGTATTAGCCGTAATCGCAGAGATTAGGGTTCGACGTTATTATTCAAGAAATGTGATTCAGTGAGATAACTTTTGAAAAAAGAAAGATAGAGATAATGAGGAATTCAGAAGATTAGAATTCCAAAGAACACAACGGGTGGATGCACCTGCGCCATTGCAAACGATTTTAAACGGTGTATGAAGAATTTGATTGTGAGCAATTTAGTTTCGTTGTGTTGTCAGTCGGTATGAGAACGGATGTCACTTCCCGGCTGCCCACACCGTGGAAGGAATGAAAACTCTGGTTAACACGTACAGGCTGTATGTTTATGATGTGTGCTTATGTGTGTGTTTACCTTCGTTTGTTTTATAGGGTACTGTATTGTTGATGATACCTTTTTTAATTATGATAATCAAATATTTTTTTTATTCGTGTTTTCCCCTATAAATTTGTCCCAACGAAAAATAAAAAAGGAATATCAAACCAAGAAATCGTCCAAGTTTTCGTCAAATTCTATCACACTTAAATGTAACTTGTTCACGTCTACTACAATACACCGATGATGAATTTATTTCATTGCGTCAATTATGGAAAGAAGAAATCACTGTTTATCTACAGGTAATGCGTGTAAGCCTCCTTTTGATTTTTTTTCTTATCCCGGTTATATTTCTCTTCCGATCGAGTTGGAAATGAGGGTATTTTATTTTACATTATAAGTTTTTTCCATACTTCATTTGATTTAATTTGCAAGCGTGTATTTGTCTGTATCTTATTACTGAACATGAAAAAAAGCCACAGTTCTACTTGACGATAAAGACTCACCAGTAATGCGTGTCCACGGTACCCGCACAAGGGAATCCAATCTCTTACCGTCAGTCTTGCGCGCGAACGCTTAACCTCTAGACTACTGAGCCATAATCCAACAGTGTTCATGTCTAACTTCGGTCAGTCCACGATCTTTCTCAACCTTATCCAATGTCTTTGATGAGCACTACTCTACACCTGACGGAGTTGAACTTCACTAGTTACAATTTCTCACTCAAACTCGATGAAACTTCCTGACACAGCTAGTCACTTGTGAACACAGGGTAATTATCATTATAGGGTTTTGGAGATTGCTTAGTTAATCAGAAATTATGAATTGACCAAAGTTAGACATTAACACGATTGGAAGCCGGTCTGGTGGTTGATTGTTCAGGCATTCATGCAGGAGACCGAAAGTTCTTGGTTCGATTCCAATGAGCGGGGTTGGTGGATACGCACTGCTGAAGAGTCCCATACCAGGACGATAAAGCTTAATTGAATGATAATTTTGTCAAAAAGAAAATTGCCTTCCTTGAATTTTCTTCAATATCCTATTCAAATCATACAACAATAGGTTACTTTGAATCATTTACAAAAGCTACATTGTGCTTGGCTAATATTTGATCCATCGATTAATCTATAGCTGTCTCTCTGAGAGTCGCCCACAGCTGCTGTCAGTATACTTTAGTATTGTTAGGATATTCATCCAATGTCCTAAGATAATTGTTTGTAAGTCTAATTCTACTGGTCCATAATATGGTCGTCCTAGCTATCAATGTCACTTCAATGTTGTTTCCTATTCGACCTAACTGTATAAATACGCATTATCCGTTACGTTCTATGACCCAGACACGGACCTGGATCCCTACTCCGGGATCCTTCTTCTCTTCTGGACTTGGACCTCGTACTTTCTGAATGCTTGTAGAATACGCGTCCTACTTCATATTAAGTCTTCTTTTACTCAACGGGGGTTTTGGACAATCGGATTAAATTAGCCTGTCGTATCTCCGGATCATCGATCCCCGCTCTCGTTTACTGTCTAAGCTAAATTCGTAATAGTTCAAGCATATCAAATCACGTGTTTATGTGCATGCGTAACAAGTATTTCCATAAATAGTACAATTAGACAGTGAAGAATTATTTTAATTCGATGTGTATTCCACAAAATCTTTGTTTGCGTTGCCTACGTTAAATCCTATGTACAAATGATTGACGATTCCTCTATAATAATAATAATAATTATAAGACACAACTAGTGAAAAATTTGAATAGATTGTATAATCTAATGTACAACAACACTTTTAGCACTTATAAAATCTATACAAACACATTGTTATGAATGATTGAAAAGACTGGACATGTGAATAAGCTGGATTACTAACTCTGGATCTTTCTCTTTTTTTTAAACAATTTACACAGTTGAAGAATATGCTCAACTGTATCGATTACTCACTGTTAAATTGTTGACTGACTGATTGATTATAGATTTATAAGTCATGTCCATATATCAACCAGAGATAATCAATACAAAGCCGAATACAGATATGTTTGGACTTGAATCATCATAGTAGTGGAAATCGGTACTACAAGTGGGAACTACACAAAAAAGTGTTCGCAATCATGTACAACAGTACCATTGATAATGTGAAAGGATAATTGGGTTAATTAATTCAGAAATGAAACACGCCTACAATTATCTACTCTGTTCACTGATAATAGAGGTATGTAGCACAGTCACTCAGCCAGTTATTCAGCTACAACGTAGAACTTCGTATGCACGTACATACATCAGTTCAAGTTGCCATAACACTTTAGCACACAGAGAGGTGGAATTGTCAATTCGAATCCTTTAGTAGTAGAAGTATGAGTGGTAATGGAGAAGATTAGGGTTCACAGATATTATTCAACAAGTATATGGCAGTGAAATGCAGTTGAGAAGAGAAAGACAGAGCTGATGAGGAATACAGAAGATTAGAATTTAAAAGAACACAAAGAGTGATTTTATCTGCGCCGTCGCAAATGATTTTGCGCCATGTCATTCCAAGTCTCTAATCATCGGTTATTATTGTCTGTGATATGCTTGTCAGTTGATATGCTTGAACTATTATGTGTTCACCTTGCTCGGTAAACGGAACGAAGGTCAACGATACAGTGACACGATAGGTTATTCTAATCTGTTTTCCCAGATACGGCTAACTAGATCAAGAAGTCTTGATAAGGCCTAGAGAATGTATTCTACAAGCACCCAGAAAATACGAGGTTTCTAAGCACACAAATCAAGCTTATTTATACAATGATAAAACGTCCTAGGTTATAACCACAAAAATAGCGTACTAAAATAATCGATCAACCAATGACAGTCAAGGATTTTGCGAGTGGGTAATGTAAGCTCAAGGTCAAAAAAGCGTCTCTTGGATCGAAAACATAAAAAAAAATCAAAATTTCAAAGATAAATGACAAATTAGGACTTTTTCCAAGTGAGTTCTGTGGATCTAACGTCACCAACAGTCTGTTTAACACTATATCAAATATTTACCTGTTTCTTTTTATGTATATATCTAATAGGATATTCGACTTGAAGGTCAATGTACACCAAAACTTGAAGTAATGCTAATTCGTCGTCGACGTGAAGAATTATGTCATGCACAAGATATTCGACGGTGTTATGATGATAAACGTGAACGAGCTAATGAATTATACACAGAATTGAAAATTTTACTAACTGAATGTGAAGAAGAGAAACGTAAAGCTGAACGGTTTGTTTCGTAAAACATTTTGTTTACTTTGGGTTTTTTTTCGTCAAAGGAATTAAATGTTTTGTTTATGAATCAATCAAATGTCAATTAAATGTGTTGAAACAGGTGATTGGTTAAGAAATGACTGTTATTCCTAAGTTATAAGCCATTTTTTGATGGGGAAGTAAGATTCTTTAGCCAATAAAAGCTTCCGTTAAGTTATCTTGGTTTGGTCACTTGTCTATCGGAAGTTTTGAATGTCATTAAAACTCTCAGCTGATCTTTGTTGGACGGCTATTAAAATCTGAAAAGCGATGCGCATCGACGACTCCGTACGTGGGGACCAAACCCTAGCAACTTCGGCCTCGTGTGCAAACGGCTGTTCAGTAGTTTGGAAGGAAGCTGGGGGCGGCCAAACCAAAACATGGCAGAAGTCGCTAACAAGTGGACTGAGTCATGTTGGTAGATACAGGTTACCTGGTTGGGGTCCGCGAGCCGAAAGTCACCAATGGTTAGAGATCTTGAACGACATGGCTCAAAATCGTTTGCAATGGCGCAGGTGCATTTACTCTTTGTGTTCTATGAAATTCTAACCTGAATTCCTCATCATCTTTATCTTTCTCTTTCTAAATTTGTTTCACTGAATTATACTTCTTGAATCATATCTTCGCTCCCTAATCTTCCAGTAATCTACCAGTAATGCGTCTACTATCCCTACCACTATGGGATTTGAACTGACAATTGCGTGTTTGTTCTAATGTGGTATGGCAACCTGAACTTATGTACGTATGTACGAAGTTCTACGTTGTAACTGACTGACTGAGTAACTTGGAAGTTAAGCATGTTTATAAACGAGACCTAACGTCCCGATCTCTCACTTCATGCGTACGGGGTCGTGAATGAAATGGTTGATCACTGCTTTTTGATTTTCATTGGTGATCCAAATTCGATCGATTCAGGATTTCAATCACCTATCATCTCTGCCTAATCTTCCCTACCATCCACCAATACTGTTTCTACTCGCAATATTCTGGTATTTTTCTCACTGTGCCGATATAGTGTCCCAGCTTGTTCCAATGACTAACCCCTAACCAAAAATTGCATTATTTGTATTCCCTTGTTTTATGATTACACCTAATGTTTATTCCCTCCCACCTCATCCCCCATTTCTTTCTACATTCTAGAGAACGTTTACACTATGAGTCACTTATTCGTGAATTCAACAACAATCAACAACACCGCCAACAACAACAACAAGAATTACAGGATCATGAAAAAATTTCGCCTCAAGAAGAAGCAGAAGAAAACGAAAGAACTATTGACACTCGTAGTCAAAAACTTCGATTTTCTGATACTACTAATACTACTACTGCTACTACTACACCAAATAAACAATTTCCTTTTTCAACATTATCTACATTTTCATTAGGACGTAAATTAAGTGATTTCTATAATCGTCGACGTAATGATTTGAAATTCACTAATAAACCAGTTGCAATTGTCCTACCATCATCATCATCATCATCATCATGCACATCAGCAACAGCAACAACAGCAACAGCACTAATGTTATCACCGAATAATTCATCTATTCCTATAACTGATATAATGACACTAATGATGATGAATAATAGAATGAATAAACATCAAAATGATGATGCTGGTTATTATTTCATGCAATCAAATAGTTTGCAACAATTCTATGAAATTTATCGTTTAGGTTATTTTATTTATTATAATTTATTGAATACTACTACTACTACTATTAATAATAATAATAATAATAATAGTAGTATTAGTAGTTATCGAACTAATAAAAAACAAAAATGTCCATTATGTGGTGGTACTGGTAGTGTTGCTTCATCTATCAATAATAATGTCGGATTTTTCAAATCCTCCTATCGTCATCATCATCATCATCATCATCATCGTAGAGCATTGACATTGTCTATGTTGGAATATAAATTACGTGATCAACAACTAATGGCTTATTCATCTTTGATTTATGATGAATTGTTTGGGAATACTCCTAATACTACTACTACTACAACCAATAATAATAATAATATACAACCATATTCACTGTAAGTCCTATATTGACTGACTGAATTGAATTTTATTTTGTTCAATATTCAATTTGGAATAAAATGATGTAGGAATTTTTTTTATTGCTTTGTTTATTCCCCATAAATCATCAAGTTGATTGAGTTCATATTATTAAACGTTATTACGAAATATATATATATATATATATATATATATATATATATATATAAATTAAGTTAGTTAATTGATTTTCTTTGTAAAATATTTGACCTAGTTATTTATAAAATTATTTATTACAAGGAATAAAACAATATTTTATTTTATTTTATGTTTGTTTGTTTAAATATGATATGGTTTAATTATTAAAATAAAATGAAACAATTAATTCTATAGTTAAAGAATCATTTTATTTAGCTGAGTTGATTTTATCAAAATTTGACAATCCATAAATGATATATTGTATGACTTTCATCCATCACCTAAATTGAATAACTGTCTCAACTGATATAGATTGGACTCTACTGGTCACAACTTTTTAATAAGAATAATAATTGAAATCATTAATCAATCATTTTTAGACCACCACCATTAGAAACCTGGAAGCACTGAACGGCCGTTTCGTCCTAGTCAGAGACTCATCAGTATCAGTGCGCATCCACGACTACTGCACCTCGCTGGGTTCGAACCCAGGACCATCGGTCTTGCACGCGAACAGCTAACCTCGGGACCACTTGTCTGTGGTAGTTACTGCCCTCACGTGTTTCAGGTTTATAATGGTGATGATCTAACAATGACTGATTTATTGATGACTTCACTGTGCAAAAAACACAAATCTCCATAAGTCTTATTGAAAAATAATAATCATACGCTCGCCAGTGACTAGCTTCAAGACGTAACTCTTAGAATTCTAGTGAGATCAGTGTAATATAATCGGTGTCGATTGTGAGGCAGTTATCCACTGTAAGAAATGAATCAGGGTTTCTCAAGATTGTGGTTTAATCGAAACTATACATGAACAACTTTGGATAGCTAGTTCATTGATCTAGTAGTGAAATGTTAGTGAGCGAACTCAAAAGTCTTCAATTCGATCCCCTGATATGAAGGGACTGTGGACCTGCACTACTACCAAAGATTACCATACTAGAATAGAAAAGCCGTCCAGTTTTTCAATGATGGTCATAGTAAGATTAGCTCGTAATTTGAAATTCAAAATTCTATTGATATTCTATAATTAGTTTTTTACAGAACACGTTTTTTTTTAATACTTGTTGATATTTCAATTTTTATTGGTTGAAATGTAGTATTAGATAGTTCAGTGAATAATTTTAAATTATAATACATTGTATAATATTGTACTATGTATAAATCAGTCAATTAACCATAATCAGTGTTCAGCTTAACACAAAACACGATTCCATGGAGCAATTTAGTGCACACAAAATAAAAAATAGCTTTTTTTACTTTATGGCCTATTACCCCCAATAGTGCATAGACCAAAGACCAGAATTCTGCAGCCTACTGTGTCCTGGACCTTCGTTTCCAGTTCTGTCTCATTGTTGCCCATTCTTCTCATATCTGTCTCCATTTCTCGGCGTAATGTTTTCCTTGACCTTACTCTTCTCCTTTGACTTTGAGAGTTCCAAATGAGGTCTTTTCTTGTGATGCTGCAGTTAGATGTTTTCCTCGATGCGTGTCCTATCAGCTTCCAACGCTTCTTCCTCCACTGGAATCTGGTTTGTTCCCTCCCACAGTAGGTTGTTGCTGATTGTTTTTAGTCAATGAATCCGAATTATTTTGCATATACGACTATTAATAAATACTTCTATCTTCTAGATGATGACTTTCGTAGTTCTCCAAGCTTCCTCCCCATACAGTAGATAAAAAGTAGCACAGTACTGAATGACTGACTGAATTTATACTGCCACTTAATTGGGCACTCACTACTCAAGGATTAGATCGCGCTAAACAAAAATTGAGGTGTGTACCACAGATGTCGATCTCACATCGCTTATCTTGACTTTTGGATAAACTAATTCATTCATTCTTTTCAAGTCATAATTCACATGCATTTTTGGTTGCTTTTATTTGAATATGTGTGTGCATTGCTTACTTCGATTATTATATGTCTGTCTAGCTCATTTTTGTTTGACTATAAATACTTAGTCATGCCTCAGCACATTGAGTTAACCAACTCACCTTCTCTGCGCTTCACTTTGCTTTGCTTCACATTCTTTCGTCTGTCTACATAAATGATTGCATGAAATAAGTTCATCCACAAAATCATATCGGGGTTTTTAATAACCGCTGTCATACAAACGCGGTCTGCCTAAGAATGATGTATGGAAATTAAAGGAAAGATTTATTTCATTGGAGTTAGATCCCGTACTAATAAAAGATATATGATACATGACTAAAATAGAGAACTAGAGTAAGGAGATAAATAATATTCCATTCCACATAATTGCTGCAAGCAGTCACACTCAATGAGTTTGGAGTAGACATCAAAATGAGCCAAGGAAACCACATATTTCATTGTCAATAGGCTAAGTGCCAGTTTGTCCACGCTCTCTGATCAATTACATTTTACTTCAAGTACCACATAACATCTATGTACAGTAAAACTGATAATGACATAGACTAAACATTTAGAGAAAGAATACTTGAACTCGGAATTTATAGGGAGATAAGAAAAAATTGATAAATACATCTGTGGACCATTGTAACTGAAGCAGTCGATCAATACACAATTTTAGGTTATTTTATCATTGATTGACAGATTGCGTAATGAGTATTTAATGTCGATTCTTATCATTAATAATGTTGCAGTATTTTTAGGTAAATTGCTCTCAACAATCCAAGCTCAAAAACCATCATTAGAAACCTGGAAGTACTGAATGGCCGTTTCGTCTTGTTATGTGACTCATCAGCAGTGCGAATCCAGGACTCGGAGTTCTAGTTAGAAGAAGACGTGACCGGTAGAGCTCAACCCTGTCGAGTGTAAACAGTCACTACTAAGGTGGTTGAGGTTGCGCGAAATCCTTAGATTAATAAGAGTTAGACATCAACACCGTTTGATGTCGGCTCATTAGTTCAGAGGTTAAGCGTTAGCGCGCAAGACTGAAGGTCCTGGGTTCGACTCCTGCAAGTAGCAGGAGTTGTAGATACTCACTTCTGCTGATGAATCCTATACCAGAATAAAACGGTCGTCCAATGCTTCCAGCTATTTAATTCTGGTCTAACAATGATTCATTGATGATCTTAATATAATTTTTTTTATCATAAAATTGCAAAATATTTTAAAACTTCACTTTTTTTTTTCCTATTTCTAGCTTATATGATACAAAGAAATTTGCCAGTACAAATAGTTTACATCAAATTTTAAGTATCCCTTGTCCTCCTCCCCCACCACCACCAGCATATGACTCTGTAATGACAATTTATAACCAAACAGCAGGCGGAGATCATTCTCGCACTCACTGTGATCATTATTATTTTACTTCTGCAAAACAATCAATAGATCATCCAAATGTTCCAAACCAATCAACAATTAAGGCAAAATCGAATTGTAATACTATGATTGATGATAAGACCAATAGTGATAACAACAATCAAAATAGTGATAAGAATAAATTGTCCTGTAATCATCCAAATTGGATAGCTGTGACTACTTTGCCTTCATCAGTGACATCTGTAGATTGTCATTTAGGAGATAATGTAATGACTACTACTACTACTACTGCTAGTAGTAGTAGTACAACCCTTGCCATCAGCACCACTATATACACTACTAATACTACTGTAACTAATACTGTCACTACTAGTAGTAGTAGTATGAACATTCATGATAATTCAATCAATAATTCTAATCAAATTCAACCTAATGTAAATGAAAACGGGCAGACAACAATAAAGAATGATGAATTATTGTTCAATGGTTTATCCAAGACAACAGTTCCGGTAAGAAAATAGATTCCTAATGATGAGAAATCACTTGATTTCTGTCGATTGTAATCAATAATATTTGCAATGATTCATGTAATACAAACTGAGCCTTAATTATGCAGCAATCGCAAATCATAAAGTGTTGGACAATTGGTTTGTCATTGTGTCGGCTCCATTCACGAGCTTATTATAGGTTGAACTAGAGAGATACTTAAATGTTTCAGTTTTAAATCATTGTATAGGGACTGTCATTAACAGATACAGACTGATTGGTTTGAATTGGATCACAATAGCGCTGAAGTATCCATTCATAATCTTTGTCTCATTCTTGTACCATAGTGTCCTCTTATACTCTGTTCTGCAAGTTCGAATCCTTATACATCGATTATAATTTGCGAAGCCAGAGAGTATTTGTCGCCCTCACACATAAAACATGACTTAAAGCCAAATGCACGAATCTGTACTTGGTATTTAAAGTTAAATTACATTTATATTAATCTTACCCCCTCTGCTACAACCAAGGGTGAGAAGATTCTGCTCTCTCACTCAAATGGTTCTCATATGGCAACGTGTATATAGCCTGTTTTAAGAAAGTCCTACTGACTGTCTTCTCATGGCAATGGTGTTCTTTATGAAATTGAGAGGACGAAAAAAGATTATCAGTTCATGGTTTTAAATCGTTTTGTCGGGTACGAAGAATCTATACAGGGGAGAGAGTCTATTGTTAGTCACCGGATATCACTGTACTTCATCTCCTAACGTTGTTCCACTGTCTTATGGATTAGATTTTTAGGCCAACAATTCGGCGAGTGGTCTCTTTAGAAAATCGCTTGCTTCAATTTGGGAAGCTAATTAGCATTCCTATCCCATATACGAATTCAATTATTTGTGTGGTGCATATCTATTTAGATGCCTTATTTGTACTAATTATGATTTGTTTATATATATATATATATATATATATATATATATATATATATATATATCAGTCAGTTACAACGTAGAACTTCGTCGTACGTACGTACATAAGTTCAGGTTGCTATACCACATTAGCACAGAGATGTAATTGTCAATTCAAATCCCACAGTGGTAGAGGTAGTGAAAGTATTAACAGTAATCGGAGAGATTACTGTTGGACGATATTATTCAAGAAGTGTAGTTCAGTGAGATAACTGTAGAAAGAGAAAGATAGAGATGATGAAGAATTCAGAAGATTAGAATTTGAAAGGACACAAAGCGTGGATGCACCTGCGCCATCGCAAACGATTTTGAGCTGTGTAATTCAAAGTCTCTAACCATCAGTTACTTTCATCTGGCGGACCCTAACCAGGTAACCTATATCTACCAACATGACTCAGTCCAACTGTCAGTGATTTCATGCATTTCTGCCATGTTTTGGTCTGGCCGCCCTAGCTTTCTTCCAACCTATTCGTACATCGCAAAGGATAGCTCGTCAAGACAGTCGGTGGTTGAGCATTCGTAACACATGTCCCAACCACTTCAACTCATGAAGTTTAACTACTTCATCAATCGATCTGCCATCCTTACTTAGTACCTAGTACTCGTCTCCTAACTATAGCATTGCTTACTCAGCTGTTTCAAGATATACGAGCAATGCTTTGAAGACAATTATATATAAATATACATATATAATCTTGCTGAACACATATACACATTTTATTTACTATAATCAATTCTTATTCATCATAGGTTGACAAGAAGAAATGTCAAATTATCAATTGGCTTAGTCCTTTAAAACAATTATCCAATTTCCATCAGTTCTCATCATATAATAATAATAATAATCATGATCATTGTAATTTATTATCAAAATATTATCATATCAATTATCAATTGAAACGTTCCATTAGTCAAGATTCTTTATTATATTCTATGAAAAAATTACAATCAATAAAAAATCATCTACCTGTGGAATGCATCATCTCATCCAATGATCCATCTGCTTATATCAATAAAAAATTCTCATCATCTCTATCATCCATAATTCCAACAATGAAATTGTGTAAATCGGCACAACAATATGGTTTAAATAAATTGAATGTTGTAACAAATAAACATGATTGTTGTTTCACAACAACTGTTCTGTCAAAATCATCTATGCATCATCATGATTGTCAATTGCCACAACAACACCAACAACAACGACACATACCTTCCACTGATAATGATCACATTGAAAGGTATTATAACTTTTAAAAAAAAATTTTTTTTCAATTTTTTTTGTTCGATTTTTTACTGTAGAAATGAATGTCTTGTTGCATACAATGTTAAAAAAAGTAAAAGTAAGGATAGTACACATGTTTTTTAACTAATCACAATTGAGAATTATTGTGTAACATCATCCTTCCTTCACACAGGTACAAAAAAATAAAACAAAACCTCATTTATTCAAGATCACTTGATTTTATGTTGAATAAAGGGGCTATAATGCATCATGTTAGTTATTGTTGGGCTGTGTTGTTTCATCAGACAAATACAATAAAATATGATGTGTTACGAATGCACGTCAACATGTCGATTTGATATGATTGAACTATTACGAGTTCCCTTTAGTCGAAGAACGAGAGTGAGGATCGAGGATCCGACGACACGACAGGCTATTCTAATCTTATTGTACCAACCCCCCATTGAATAAAAGAAGACTTGATATGAAGTAGAACGTCTATTCTACAAATATCCAGAAAGTACAAGGTCCGAGTCCAAAAAGGGATAAGAATCCGGACCATAAGACGTTACAGGTTATGCATATTTATACAGTTAGGTCGAATAGGAGACAACATTGAAGTATGTGACATTGATAGGTTAGGTCGACCGATAGGAATTGACCCACAGAACTAAACTTACAAATAATTCTCTTTGGATATTGGATAAATATCCTACCAATGATTAAATTGGTTTGCTATCGGTATCTTATGTAAAAAAAACACACAACGTCACTCATAGTTTCCAGAGACAAATAATCTGATTTAGCTTCGGGCATTGGAGGCCTCTTGAGTGTTGTAGTAACTGTTATTGTCTTAACTGATAGCACATAGGTAGTTTATCGTAATTCACATTATGAGTTACTATAGAACATGTCTATCACATCACTTATAGCAGGTTTGAACCATCAGTGTTCACTGTAATACAAGAAAGATCGAAAACAACATCACATAAACAAACGTTAGTGAGTACTTGAGAAGCGACGATACGGTTTGCCACAGTACAACCGCCACAGTACAAGACGAAATAATGAAAGCTTTCATTCCGTAAGCTTAGTTTACACAAAGCTTACTCCTCCAAATTTACATTTACCTCTAATTGCTCTGGGATAAAAAAAAGAACAATTCCGCAGTAGTAATATCATGTATATTTGGTTTTAATACCTATTGTGCATGTATTATAATGAAGTACACAAACACTTTCTCATACAAACTTTCAAAATATTCGAAATGATGTTGAAATCATGAATGAATCATTGTTAGCCTACTATTAGAAATCTGGAAGCACTGAATAGCAGTTTCGTCCTAGTATGGGACTCATTGAGAGTGCACATTTACAAGGGAATTCAGTCCAGGACCTTTGGTCTCGCGCCCAAATGCTTTTAAACTCTAGACCATTGAGCTGTTATCCAACTATGTTAATGTCTAAATTTGATCAATCCAAGGTATTGCGCAACCTCTCATATTGTCGTCGGTAGACGACTGCCTACACCCGATAGGGTTGAACTCCACTGGCTTCTTACTAGGACTGAGAATTTCCTCAGAAGTTAATCACTAGTGAGTACAGGATAATTTTCGCTGTTGAGTTGTGTGGTCTTGAGGTTAGCGCACGAAACTGAAAGTCCTTGGTTGGATTGCTTTTTTGTAGGGATCGTGGGTACGCACTGATGATGGGGTTCCCATACTAGTACTACACGGCCATGTAGAACTTTCAGGTTTCTAATGGTTGTTGAAGACTGATCAATTCATCATTTCAACGAAACTTAACAATTTTCACAATTGTATAATGAAAATATTTTGTTGTTTTTAATCACCATAGAGTGAAAATAATAATGTTAACCGTATCAAATGCTGAATTCTTTCTCTTTCCTAAATGATATATAACAGATAAATCTGTACTAACCGCTGAAAACAGGTATTATACCTGTACAAAAATATACTTTATGTGTACAAAGTAATCAGATTTGATTGTGACCGATTTGGTCTCGTGCGAGCGTGTCGACCGCTTCATTTACCTCGGGAGTCTCATCAGCGCTGATGGCCTAGTGAGTAAGCAAATCTCATTAGGGATACAGAAGGCTCGATCGGCTTTTCCCAATTTACGCCTACGTCACGGCGTAGGCGAGATATCCGTTTGCTAACCAAAGGACGAGTATACTGCTCAGTAGTTCGATCCGTCCTACTGTATGGATGCGAAACATGGTCAGTTAGAGTAGAAGAAATTCGTAGGTCATTGGTTTTCGATCTCAGATGTCTCCGAAGCAATGCTGTTATTAGGATACGGGTACTAGGTAAGGATGGCAGATCAACAGATGAAGTGTCGAAACTTCATCAGTTGAGGTGGTCAGGACATGTGTTACGTATGTTCAACCACCAACTGCCTCGTCAAGCCAAGGTTTTGTGGTGTAGGAGTAGGTTGGAAGAAAGCTAGTTGCGGCCAGACCAAAACATGACACAAATCCAAGAAGTCATCAACAACTGGATTGAGACTCGTCTGCAGTGCGCATCCAGGACTCGGAGTTCTAATTAGAAGAAGACGTGACCACTAGAGCTCAACCCTGTCGAGTATATGCAGCTGCCGTTGGGAGACAATGGGTGAGGTTGTGCGAAGTCCTTAGATCGGTCACAGTTAGACATTAACACCTTTGGATGCCGGCTCAGTGGTCCATAGGTTAAGCGTTGGTGCGCAAGACGGGAAGTCCTTGGTTCGAATCCTGCTAGTAGCAAGAGTCGTGAATGCGCACTGCCATTGATGAGCCTCATACTCGGAAGAAACATCTGTCCAGTGCTTCTGGCTCTCTAATTTCACTGACCTAACGGCTTATTGATTCATGATTTCAGTAAGAAATTGATCAGATCCGTTCTATTGTAATCTAATCATATCTCTATGTTTAGTTTTATCAACAAAAATTCATTTGCTACACTAAACAGAATACAGACAATTTTCCATTAAAGAAGACATTTTTTGTTCATTCTAATCATGACGATGACGATGACGATAGTGATGGCATTTAACAAAACTTTTACAGCTTCGTTTATTTAATTTTTTTTGTAATGGCTACTTTTTCTGACGTAACATGTAAATAATGATAAAGTCACTTAGCAGAAATGCCACGCACAGACACACACACACATACAAAGACAAATAAACATTAAGAGAGTAACGCAATATAAAGTTAAGGGATGTCAAGACTGATTATCACATGTATATAGGAGGAGATAGAAAAGATAAATTGCCTCCATGATGTTAGTCGGACGACTGTACTACTACTACAACTACTACTATACGACTAACGACCTTCAGGCAACTAGTAGTCTGGTTTGAGTTTTTTTTATTGCGTCGAATGCAGCGGAAGATAATATGAACTTTATTTTTTTTTGAAAAAAACAATCATGAGCCGAGTGACATGGGGACATGTGATTGGTCACTCGATGTGGAGATAGATAGACAGACAGATGGAACTTAGTTTATTTGACTGTTTAGTATGTGAATGAATGAATTCCTCGCCTCTTGTTGAATTTTTTAATTCTGGACTCATTGTGTAGACTGAAGTATTATCAACTGATCACATTACGTACTGTGGTTCTTTTAATATTCGGTCATGAAATGTTGTGTATCTGGTATCATATGGCTACTCTCATTCTGTTAATAGCAATATTGAACCGAGTACCTAGTCTAACCTTAGGGGCTACTGCCGGTCCCAAGCCCGGGTAAAGGAAGAGGGTTGGACATGGGGTTGGCGACCCCATTCCGTCGAAATCTAACTTGCCAAAAAAACGCGAACCAGAAAAAATAATCCAAATCATTTTAACTCTGCCCTGGGAGTTGGAAGAAGAATTATGACATCGCGTGGTGAAAACCGAGTTCCCTCGGAAGTCACGGGACCGATGCCTCTTCTGACAACCAGAGCAACCATTCTTTTAGTTACATGGAACGTTCGTACATTGTGGGAGACTGGAAGACTATTTCAAGTTGCGGCAGAAATGAAAAGATACAACGTCGAGGTGCTTGGCATCAGTGAAACGCGTTGGACACAGGTAGGACAACTGAGAATAGCTTCAGGGGAACTGCTGTTATACTCTGGTCATGAAGAGGAGAATGCTTCACATACACATGGAGTTGCACTGATGCTGTCCAAACATGCACAAAAGGCACTGATAGGATGGGAATCTCATGGACCGAGGATCATCAAAGCATCCTTCAAAACAAAGAAACGTAACATTACAATGAACGTCATCCAATGTTATGCACCTACCAATGACTACAATGATGACGTTAAAGATCAATTCTACGAAAGGCTGCAGTCTATCGTCGAGAAATGTTCACCAAAGGATTTGACGATTCTTATGGGAGACCTGAATGCCAAGGTTGGCATGGACAACACTGGATATGAAGACATCATGGGACGACATGGACTGGGAGAAAGGAACAAAAACGGTGAGAGATTTGCAAAGCTATGTGCCTTAAACAAACCGGTCATCGGTGGCACAATATCCCCGCACAAACGCATTCACAAAGCCACATGGATTTCACCGGACCACACTACTCAAAACCAAATTGACCATATCTGTATCAACAAAACGTTCAGAAGGACCATGGAGGATGTAAGAACCAAGAGAGGAGCTGATATAGCCTCAGATCACCACTTGCTGGTCGCCAAAATGAAACTGAAATTAAAGAAGCACTGGACAACGGGGCAAACAACATCACAGAAGTTTAATACGGCCTTTCTTCGGGATACTGTAAAGCTCAACGAATTCAGGATAGCCCTCACCAACAGGTTCCAGGCCTTTCAGGATATACTCAATGGAGAGGAAGCAACATTGGAGAACAGTTGGAAAGGGATTAAGGAGGCAATCACTTCAACATGTCACGAAGTTCTGGGTCACAAGAAGTACCGTCACAAGGAATGGATATCTGTTGATACTCTTGAAAAAATTGAAGAAAGGAGGAACAAGAAGGCAGTAATCAATGTCAGCCGAACAAGAGCACAGAAAGTTACCGCACAAGCTGCACACACAGAAGCAAACAGGGAAGTGAAGAAGAGCATCAGAGCTGAAAAACGAAAATATATGGAAGATCTAGGAATGACGGCTGAAATGGCTGCAAGAGACGGAAACGTGAGACAATTGTACGAAACAACAAAGAAGCTGGCCGGAAACTATCGTAAACCAGAACGACCAGTGAAAAGTAAGGAAGGCAAAGTAGTCAGCAACACTGAAGAACAGCGAAATAGGTAGATAGAGCACTTTCAGGAACTCCTGAATCGACCAGCTCCACTGAACCCACCCAACATCGAGGCAGCATCCACGGACCTCCAGATTAATATTGGCGCACCTAAGATTGAGGAGATCAGTACGGCCATCAGACAAATCAAGAGCGGCAAGGCAGCAGGACCAGACAACATTCCGGCAGAGGCAATGAAATCAGATGTGGAAGCAACTGCGAAAATATTTCACATCCTCTTCAAGAAGATTTGGGATGAGAAACAAGTACCATCAGATTGGAAATAAGGATACCTGATCAAAATACCAAAGAAAGGCGATCTGAGCAAGTGTGAGAACTACAGAGGCATCACTCTTCTTTCAATACCAGGCAAAGTCTTCAACAGGGTACCGTTAAACAGAATGAAGGACTTCTTAGACGCCCAACTTCGAGATCAACAGGCTGGATTTGGTAAGGATCGATCGTGTACTGACCGTATCGCTACATTACGGATCATTGTGGAACAATCAACTGAATGGAACTCACCACTCTACATCAACTTCATCGACTACGAGAAGGCATTCGATAGCGTGGATAGGAAAACACTATGAAGGCTTCTTCTACACTACGGTATGTCTGAGAAAATAGTTAACATCATACGGAAATCTTATGATGGATTCAACTGAAAAATCGTACACGATGGAAAGCTGACAGACTCTTTCGAGGTGAAGACCGGTGTCAGGCAAGGTTGCTTACTCTCACCCTTTCTCTTTCTCCTGGTCATCGACTGGATTATGAAGACGTCAACATCTGGAGGGAAGCACGGTATTCAGTGGACAGCTAGGACGCAGATGACCTGGCACTTTTATCGCGCACGCAACAACAAATGCAACAGAACACGACCAGTGTAGCAGCAGCCTCTGCAGCAGTAGGTCTCAACATACAAAAATGAAAAAGCAAAATTCTCCGATGCAACGCAACATGCACCAACCAAATCACTCGTGATAGAGATGACTTAGAGGACGTTAACACCTTTACATATCTTGGCAGCATCATCGACAATCAAGGTGGATCGGATGCAGATATGAGGGCGGGGATTGGCAAAGCAAGTGCTGCATTTCTACAGTTGAAAAATATCTGGAACTCCAAACAACTTTCAAACAAAACCAAAATCAGGATTTTCAATACAAATATCAAGACAGTTCTACTGTATGGAGCGGAAACTTGGAGAACTACGAAAGCCATCATCCAGAAGATACAAGTATTTATTAACAGTTGTCTACGCAAAATACTTCGTATTCGTTGGCCAGACACCATCAGCAACAACGTACTGTGGGCGAGAACAAACGAGATTTCAGTGGAGGAGGAAATCAGGAAGAAGCGGTGGAATGGGATAGGACAAACACTGCGAAAAGCACCTAACTGCGTCACGAGACAAGCCCTCACATGGAACCCTCAAGGCAAAAGGAAAAGAGGAAGGCCAAGGAACACACTACGCCGAGAAATAGAGAAAGATATGAGCGGAATGAACAAACATTGGACAGAACTGGAAAGGGAAGCCCAGGACAGAGTTTTTTGGAGAAAACTGGTGGGCGGCCTATGCTCCATTGGGGGTAACAGGCGTAAGTAAGTAAGTATCTAGTCTAAAGGGAAGTGAACATTCTCGACCACCGGTTGGTTGAATCAACGTACACAGTGGTTGAAAAGATTCTACTGTTGCTTCATAAAAATAATTGGTAAAATGTATCTGTAATTAATTAGTGAAATATTTAAAACTGTTCTGAAAAAAAAGACGCACAATCACAATCAAGCTTAACATGGACATGTCAGAAAAACTTTTTGAAATCCATGGATCGATCAATGTTAGACCACCACGATTAGAAACCTGGAGGCACTGAAAGAAAGACGTTTCGTCTTAGTACGGGAATCATCAGCAGTGCATATCCACAACCCCTGTTACTCATATTACTCACCGAAAATAGTGAATGAGTTTACGCAAGACCGTTGATTGGTAAAAGGTAAACATTATCGCCGTTAGATGCCGTCTCAATGGTTCACATGTTAAGCGTTCGAGCGCAAGACCGAAGGTCCTGGTTTCGAATCCTGTGAGTAGCAGGAGTCGTTGATGCCCATCGCTGATAAGTCCCATACAAGGACGAAACATCTGTCTTTCAGTGCCTCCAGGTTTATAATGGTAGTGATCTAATATTGATCAATTCATGATTTCAAAAAGCGACTCAACAATCTCCACAACTCTTTCAAGCAAAATGTCAGCGAAATTATTTATGAAATATGTGGCCATGGTACAAATTGTACATGAGTGTGCATCATGAGATATTGGGGCATAAAATTAAAATGTTTTTATCATTAAAACTGATAACATAACACGAAAATCATATACTTGTTATTATATGCGGTCCCTATGTAATCCAGAATGTTTATAGATTGGAAGAGAAGCCAAAGAAGTCTATCTATGTGTTACGGATGCACGTAAACACGTCAATTTGATATGCTTGAACTATTACGAGTTTACCTTAGTCAGTAAACAAGAGCGAGTATCGATAATCTGATGACACGACAGGCTGCTATAATCCGAACATCCTAAACCCCCATTGAGTGAAAGAAGAAGACTTGATATGAAGTAGAACGTGTATTCTACAAGCATCCAGAAAGTACGAGGTCCGAGTCCAGAAGAGAATCAGGATCCCAGACTAGGGATCTGGGTCCGGGTCATAAAACGTTACAGATAATGCGTATTTACGCAGTTAGGTCGAATAGGAAACAACATTTGAAGTCTGTAACATTAACAGTTAGGACGAGCAGTAGGAAATAACATTTAAAGTCTGTGACATTGATAGCTAGGACGACCATAATATTGACCAGTAAGGAATCGACCAATAGACTTACAAAAATAATTCTCTTAGGATATCTGATGAATATCCTAACACTATATAACCACACACAACAAATTTTTAAAAAAAATAAACAACTGAATACTATACGCATAAACAATTTGTGTTCTCATTAATTATGTATGTTATTCCATCTGCATTTAACTTATTCCTCTACAATATTTCACTTTAACAGTTTTGTGCAATTGGAATTTAATCGTAAAATACTTAATTGTAACAAACAATTCATAGCCTATAAACAATTTTAAAAAGAATGTGTCATTATTGATGCTTATTGGTTGGTGTAGTTTTGGATTTAAAAGAAATCATAGGGTAGAATTTATTATCTATGGATATCTAAACCCTGCTGATAGAAACCGACTATTTGTTTAAGGTCTACGGATGTAAAACATGGCTACTCAGAGTAAAGGATATTCGTAGGTTACTGATATTCGATATAGGTATCTCTGAAGCATTACTAATATATCGTGGGACCACCGAGTAAGTAGTACTGTTGTTAGGAAACACAATCATTAGAGGAAGTATTGAAACTTCACCAGTTGAGGTGGTTAGGACATATGTTACGTATGCCTACCCATCGACTGCCTCGATGAGCTATGCTTTACGATGTAGGAATAGGTTGGAAGAAATTAAATGGTGGCCAAACCAAAACATGGCACAACTCCATGAAGTCACTGACAAGTGAACTGAGCTACGTTGATAGATGCAGACTACCAGATTGATGCCCGCGAGACAATAGTAACCGATGGTTATTAAGCACTTTGAATGACGTGGCTGAAAATCTCTTTATGCTAAATTGGGTGTAGCAACTTGAACGTATGTACCTACGTACGAAGCTGTGGCTATAACTCAATCATAGCACGAATACATTCACTGCATAGCTTCTCCTAAATTCTCATCCCTCCAACTACATTTTTATAATTTTATCGTTTCAAATTAAACATTCACAATTCTTCCCAGCCTTCCTGCCTTCTTTTTTCTAGTACAGAAAAAAACAGAAAAGAATTCTAGTATCCTTTTTTAATTTTTCATAAACAATATTGTTTCACATTGTAACAACAATTTGTTTGCGCGTTGTTTTTTCTCTTACTTTTCAGTCATTTACAAATCATCAAAGATGATGTTCATGTTGATGTTGACAATGATCACAAACTCAAAGATAAAGATAATGATGATTTTCATTTTCTTGAACATGTCAGTCCATTATGGTCACCAAGTAAAAGTTTATTTCATTATAAAAATAAACATCAATTAATTCAATCAACCAATGATAATAATCCTAAAGGTGATTGTGATCTCTTATCAATACCATCATCGATTTCACCGAAATACTCTGCATCAATTCCTAGAATACCACCACGTCGTTCGAACAGTACCAAAATCAATGCAGATTATTATAATTTTGACAATTCTGTCTTTAATCAAACAACAGCTCATAGTGTGAAAATATCATCACCATCTTCACCTATGCATAAGAATAATAATAATCATAGCATGAATAGTAAAGAAAATTCGGACTCAGAAAATATTCAACTAAGAAAATATCCTGGTCGACGAAATTTCATGACAATTGAATCATTTTTAAGAAATTCCAGTACAACTATGCCATCCGATCAACTTTCTCGACCACTTCGTTCACGTTACTATCAGTATCGTCATCGTTCAAGATTGTATTCTTTGTCTCAACCTAGAAGAAATAGTAACAGTTTGTTGGATTTGAATTCCAACTATCGATCTACATCTTTTTCAGCCTCTTCATCATCTCCGCTCTCATCATCCATCGGAACTCGTACACGTATGGTGAGTTAGTTTTTTCTTTGTTTTTGAGAACATTTTGAGGTGATTGACGCATGTGTTGCGTATGCCTAACCACCGACTGCTTCGTCGAGTTATGTTTTGCGATGTAGGAATAGGTTGGAAGAAAAGAACTAGGGGCGGCCAAAACATGGCACGAACCCATGACGTCAATGATAAATGGACTGGGGCATGTTGGCAGGTGTCGACTATCTGGTTGGGGTCCGCGAGATGATAGCGATCGATGGCTGGAGACCTTGAATGACATGATTCAAAATCGTTTTCAGTAGCGCAGGTGCATCCATTCTTTGTGTTTACTGAAATTCTAAACTTCTGAATTTCTCATCATCTTTATCTTTCCCCTTTTAAGTTCATTTTACTGGATTCTACTTCTTGAATAATATCTTCGAACCCTAATCTCTCCGATTACTGCTAATACTTCTACTACCTCTACTACTATAGGATTTGAATTGACAATAGCGTCTCCATGCTAATGTAGTATGGCAAACTTAACTAATGTACGTACGTACGAAGTTCTCCATTTTAACTGACTGACTGATAACATTTTGCATATGGAGGGGATAATCGCATCCCGAATATGTTTGCATTGTTGCTTTACAACCGGTCTGCATGGATCCTTGAATTAATAATAATAATGCAGAACAAAGGAGATTAACTTATCGACTACTTTACTTACTCTGGAAGTATCATCGTAGTTGGTGGGTTGATGTCTAACAAATTCTAGTATAGATTCATAAAGCTCTGTTGGTGTTTACCAACTTTTATCACTTGTGGCGTAGAAAAGATGTTCATCTGCCAGTAGTAGTTCACTCTGTTCCACTCGTTCAGTCAATTAGTTAAATCGAACACACCATAGAACCTGGTGCGTATGTATGTTGATCAGGCATATAAGTTAGTCTGGGATGATTGAAGGCGGCCCTGGATGTTCTGTTTGGGGAGGCAACCGTAGACATCCTGGACTATAGACGCTGACCCTATGTGGTTATCCCTTACACTCTGCACCCGATGTAGTGTGTGAACTGGCGTCGAGGCCCCTTAAACAAGGGTCTCCTGTTGGGTTCCGGTGCTCCAGTGCTGAAACGGTACTGGACACTAATGATGTCTGCCCACTTCTGAGGGATGAACCCTACTTGGCTGAGCGCTTGCGCTTGGTCGAGTCCATGACTTCTTCCTCATGGAAAAGTGTACTTTCTAGCTGACCTTGTGGGAAAAACTCGATCTTTAGCCTTATGTGGGGCCTTGGGGACTCCGGTCGATTGTTCAGCGCAGGGCAGTTGGAGGCCAGACGGTTGGAACGGCTGCTGGTTAGTGCACTGCTTGGGTGGCTCGGTAATCCGCTTCGGGGTGCCATGTCCGGATGGGTAAGCCCGCCTTGCTGCCCTTGCCGATTGGGGATTGTGGGCTGTGGTTTGGTTGGTGGGATTTCTTGATTCATAAGTGCCCGGGTGGGTTCACTCTTCGTGTGCATACTTTTTGGATGTCCAACTTGTCTGCGGACCAACCCGGACAACATGTATGTTCCTGATTGGGGCAGGGGTGATTATTGTTGGCGACAGTGAGAATCCTTGCCTTGCCTAAAAAGCAGCGATGTGCATGTGCATCAGGCCTGTTGGTTGACCATCATTAGTCGTAAAGTACAAAACTTGGCACATGTATACATTGGTTTCCTGATGCTGAACCTTATTTATTTACTCAGTGAGATAAAATTATCATGTCACAAAAAGCCAGCTTAGTAGATGTAGTAACAATATCAATGTTTATAGAAAAGATTCATCATCGAAGATAAGATTCAACAAAATATAAATTAATGAAAAAAAAAACAAAATTTTATGAGGAATCGAGCTTAGAACTTGTTCAGTTTTGAACCATTCGGTTATAATTATCACATGGGACTCAATTAAGTAGTGTACGCCTACTGACAGATAACTTAATTCAATTTTGACTGACTTTATATGAATAGCTGGTGTCATTTTTTTTTATGCGTAATGATCAAATTATTATTCATTAACTATGAAATCATTGACAACTGAACTGAACCATGTTAATAATATATGTAGACTACCTGGTTGAGATCCGTGAGACAATAGTAACCGACTTTCTAAACTTATCTCACTGAATCATACTTCTTGAATAATATCTTCTAATCCTAACCTCTCCGATTACTTCTAATACCTTTACTACCTCTTCTACTATTGGATTTGAATTGACAATTACATCTCTGTGCTGATGTGGTATGGTGACATGAACTGATGTACTTACGTACGAAGTTCTATGTTGCATCTAACTGACTGATTGAGTAACCGATTGCTCGAAACTTTGAATGACGTGACTCGAAATTGTTTCCGATGGCGCAGATGCATCCATTCTTTGTGTTCTCTCAAATTTTAATCCACGGAATTCTTCATCACATTTATCTTTCTCTTATTAAATTTATTTCACGAGGATATGCTTCTCGAATCACATCTTCGAACCTTAATCTTCTCTATACTCTTTAATACTTTTGTTTTCTCTACACACTCCTATGGGATTTGAACTGACAACTCTATCTCTCTGTATGCTAATGTGGTATGGTATGACAACTTAAACTAATGTACGTACGTATCAAGATAACTTGTTTCATGATAATTTTTTTCAATTCTCTTTTGTTTTTCAACAACCACTAATAATAGAGTATTGAAAATTTAGCCAATGAATTACAATCGCATATGATTGATAGTTTAAGTGATAAAGAATATCATGTTCGACGTGTATGCAGTCGATTAAGAAAACAACGACAACAACAACAGCAGCAACAGCAACAACAACAACAACAACAATCCTATCAAAAACAATCTTCTATGCCTATTCATCATCAATTGACAATAGATAATGATACATTTGTACAGAATTCAACATTTACTCCATTGTTATCAGTGACCAATACTGTGACTACTACTACTGCAACTAATACTACTACAACTACAACTACTGTTGAACCAATGCGTTCAGCATTGCATGCCTTACCAGATCAATTATTGTCAACTACAACTAAAACCATTGAACCATCATCATCATTATCATCACAATTGTATGCACCAAATTCAATTATATTTATGACATCTACATGTACAACAATATCGAGTATAACAGAAGTAAGTGTTTGTTTGATTGTTTGTGTTTTGTATGTTTCTCCTTTGAAGAGTTAAAGTTATGCTTGTCAATGGATATGCTTAAATGCTATTACGAGTGTTCACCTTACTCGGTAAACGAAACGAATAGCAATGACTCAGTGATACACTGGGCTATTCTAATCCGTTTCTCTCAGCCATGGCTAACTAAAGCAAAAATTCTTGATAAAGCGTATTCTACAAGCATTCAGAAAATACGGTGTCTAAGCACACAAATCAAGCTTATTTATACAATGATAGCAAAATCCTCAGGAAAGCCACAAAAATAGCTTACTAAAAAAGTCTATCAACCACCAATTAAGGATTTTCTCAATGGAAAATGTAAGCTAAAGGTCAAATAAGCATCTCTTGGAGCGATTCAAAATCAGGATCTTTTCCAAGTGACTTCTGGGGATCTAACGTCCCCATTACACTATGATATGCGGTGTCCAAGATTTTGAAAGCAATACATGCTAACCCCTTACTCTCCAAAACTGGTTACTTGAGTGAGAAAACAAAAGTAGAAGAGAGAGTCGATTTTTCTACTGAATATTACGTACTAATACTTTATATATATATATATATATATATATATATATATGTATATATACATCATATTCCACCTCAGGATATTTCCTGATAGTCATCAAATCACCTTCTCATTTGGCTATTTCTTATTGGCTCATTATGTCATAAATCACATGTATTTATTGTTTATCTAATATTCAAACAATTTAAACCAACCGGTTCAGTAGGTTATACGTTAATCAATTGTCTTAAGACTTGAAAGTCTTAAAATCACAAGTCTCTTGTGATGATCAGTCATGGATACTCATTGCCTACCGCTAGAATGAATCCGATATTAAAATGTAATAATTATTTCCAGTGCTACACGGTATTGAGTGACTATCCTAACCCTAAATCACTTTATTCAATCATCTCTGCAAAATCAATACCTCTTACTTACTGCTTAATTACGTCTGTTACCCTTCATGAAGCTTAGACTGCCGCTAATCAGCATTCTCTTAATCTTATGAAAACTGGTGTGTGTTACGTGGGTGTGGAATAAAACCTGCTTTATCCAACTTCACAATCTAAATTCTCACCGATTAATCTATTGTAGTTATCCTGTGGCTGGGAGGCTAGTTGAAATCGATCGCAATCCAATAAAGAGGAGCATCAGCTCCTTAGAAGATTATTGGAACATCATGTTGATAAATACTGCCTATCATCGAAACCTAAATGAAATAGTGATTCATGTTGACTATCTTCAACCATGTAACCTTTCAATATTGTCCATGCATTGCTCAATCATTTAGACTGGTAATCATATTGCTCAACTTGATTGATAAAAATTGACATTACTCAGTAATCTTATCAATTTTATATGCCACTGTTCATGTTTGTTTTTCTCTACAGACCGAAGTCGATTTAAGCGATGATGATTGTGATAAACTGGATGCAGAACTCCCTAGTGATGATCACCACGATCATGGTGTTTTGCCTTCGAATAAAGAGGAGGAACAAGAAGAAGATCACAACGACATCGATTGCACAAAATCAATACCAAATTCACTAATTAGTTAATTACTTTTTTTTCTGACTTTTTTTAAACATTTTTTTTCAGAATACTGTTTTTCTTTTTGCCTTTCATCTTTGTTTCTATCGATTTTATTATTTTTCTTTTTAACTAGATAAATTCAATGTAAATATTTATATACTACTACTACTGATACTACTACTTATTTCCCCTTACACTACTTGCTAGTAGTACACAATTATAGGAATCATGTTGCATTGATTATTCTCTGCTAGGCACATTCATATTTACCTGTGTTTCTTTTTTTGTACTATTTATAAATGTTCGTAGAGAAATTCACCAGTGTTTATTATTATTATTATTATTATTATTATTATTATTATTATTACTGTTACTATTAGCACCATCATTATTGTTATCAACTACGTTTCGTTGTATTTTTTAGGCATCTCAATTATTTTTCCTTTTACATTTTGTCATTATTTCCCGTTTATATTACTCACTTAGGGAGGAGGGGGTGCTTTTCTATAAAAAAAATCGATTAAATTATGCATAATGATAGTAACAATACTACTAATAATGATACTGATGATAGTAGTAGTACTTACTGCATCCACTCACCCCCACCGTCATTGCCTCATTTTTTCCTTCTCTCCAACTCGCCTCACCATCAACCTGTCGTATCATACATATTTATACACTTAGAGAATTGTGCACAGACAGTTTTTTTTTAAAATAAAATATTCATTATTTTTTCATTATTTCCTGTCATTATTATTTTACTCCAATGAATGAATTGTTTATTTATTTATTAGATATTTTCTCAGTTTCATATTTAAAAAAAATAATAATTTGAAAAAAGAAACAAACTAGAAAGTGAATTGACTTTAAAATTTCCTCTTATTTAATTAACTAATAAATTATATTTGAAATCATCAATCAATCATTGTTAGACCATCACCATTAGAAACCTGGAAGCACTGGACGGCCGTTTCGTCCTGGTATGGGACTCATCAGCAGTTAGACATTAACACTGTTGGATGCCGGCCCACTGGTCCGATGGTTAGGGCGTTCGCGCACAATACCGAAGGTCCCGGGTTTGAATCCTGCGAGGTGCAGGAGTCATGGATGTGCACTGCCATTGATGAGTCCCATACCAGGACGAAACGGCCGTCATCCAGTACTTCCAGGTTTCTAATGGTGGTCTAACAATGATTGATTGATGATTTCAAATGTGTAAAAACACAAACCTCCAAAACTCTGCCTGAAAAAGAATTATTTATCTATTAAGCCCAATTTGAAAAGAATTAATTTTTTCGCTTATTCATTTCTAAACTCGTTTATTAGGTACACAGATAATATCTGTCTAACGTTAAATCAGTCAGTATTTCAATGTGTACAATCAATGATCTCCGTAATACTATGCTAAAAAAAATCAGTTTACTGACTAGTAACTAGTTGCATGAGAAAATTCACGGAGTTCTAGTGAGAAGATGTGACCCGTGGAGTTCAATCTTGTCGAGTGTAGGCGGTTAATAGTTACCTACCGAAGACAGTGGGCGAAGTTGCGCAAAATCCTTAGATTGATCAGAGTTAGACATTAACAGAATTGGATGTCAGCTCAGTGGTCCAGAGGTTAAGTGTCTGCGTGTACAAGACCAGAGGTCCTGGTTTCGAATCTTGTGAGTAGCAGGAGTTGTGGATGCACACTGCTCATGGTTAGTCATATACTAGAACTTGACGGATGTCCAGTGTTCCCAAGTTTAAAATGTTACTAGTCGAAAAGTGATTCATTCATGATTTCAATGTGTAAAAATAACAAAACTGAATGAAATAAAGATGGCGCAACAACGACTTTGAATTTGCCACCTAGTTGCTAGAAGTTGATCATTGAATAGTACTTACCTACTTACATCACTACTGAAAAGAATAAACATATAGAGTCGCCTATTTTTCTTAGTCAGTCGTAATCGACTTAGAGCTTGGCGTAAATATGCATAAGTTCAAGTTACTACCATACTACTAACAAAACACGATGAGGTGAAATCAAAAACAGAATAGTAATAGTACAAAAAGAGATTGAAACATTGAATTTAGCAATAGTAATGAGAAAGATTGAACATTGAAAATAGTGGTTCAAAAAGACAGAATGCAAGTAATTCAAATGAAGGAAGGAAGGAATCAGTAAAACTCAATTCCAAAAACAATCACATCTATAAATTGTCTGATTGTAACCTAGAACCAATTCAACTTGATTAACGGAAACAAGAAAATTCGAAGCTCAACTTGCATTCATCAGTTAGGATTGGCAGGGTATGTGACTAGTGCTTGTCATAATAATAATAACAACTAAAACGAACGTAAATGCACATATTCGGATCCTCCTATTATTGAAATTTCCCTATATAGGGATATGGAAATTATAGTTTCGTTGAAATCATGAATCAGTTAGTGTTAGAACACCATTGGGAGTAATAGCTCACAGGCTCGTTCTAAGTTAAGACCGGTGTCAGGCAAGTTTACTTACTCTGATCGACTGAATTATGAAGACGTCAACATCTGAGCGGAAGCACGAGTTTCAGTCAACAGCTCGAATGCAGTAGGACTTTACCGGTGAGCTATCCCACGAGCGACAATAAATGCAAGAGAAGACGACCAATTTAGCTGCAACAGTAAGCCTTAATATACACGAAGGAAACAGCAAGATCCTTCGATACAACACGACATACACTAACCAAATCACACATGATGGCAAGGATTTGATGATATAAAAACTTTTACATATCTGTGCAAATGTGAAAGCGCGGATTACCAAAGCAAGGGAAACATTTCTACAATTGCAGAACGTCTGGAACTCAAAACAATTATCGACCAACAACAAAGTCACACTTTTCGATACAAACGTCAAAACCGTCCTACTGTATGGGGCGGTAACTTGAACTACAAAAGCCATCATACACAAAATACAAGCGTTTATTAAGAGTTGTTTACTCAAAATACTTACCGTCTGCTGGTCAGACATCATCAGCAATAACTTGTTATGGAAGATTTCAAACCAGGTTCCAGAGGAGGAAGAAATCAGGAAGCTATGGAGGTGGGTAAGACACACTGAAGGAAGCACCCAGTTGAGTCACTAAACAAACCCTAAATTGGAATAATCAAGGAGAATAAGGAAAAGAAATAGACCGAAGGACACATTACATTTAGAACCGGAAGCAGATATGAAATAAATGGACGGCAATTGAATAGAACTGGAAAGGAAGGTCTAGCATAGAGTATGTTTGCGAGTGCTGATCGACGGCCTGTGCTCCGCTAGGGATAAAAGGCGTAAGTAAGTTATTAAGTAGTCATTAGGAATCTGGAAGCACTGAACGGCTGTTTCACCTTAGTAAAGGGCTTATCAATAATGCGCTTCTATACTAGGGAAGAAATAATCTTCCAATATTGATCTTAAATTTTATCAGTTCATGATTTCAATTAATTATCAATCAACTTTTAGAGTCTGACAAAAAAAAACGATGAATTATTGAAAGAATTATTCCCTTTTCGATCATATTTCAAAAAAGACAATGACTAGTAATTACAATTTTCGAAACTAATTTATTTCATGGAATGAAACGAGATGGAAAAACTTTTTATAAACATAAAAAATACATTTAGCCATTCACAATACATGCATTCAAATTACATACTAATTAATATTTCCTTTCTTTTGACGATTCCATTTCATTGTTAGTAAAACAAAATTACACAAGATCACTTATCAATTATTCATGATATGCTACCATGTCAAATTTTGTTTATTAATAATTATATTATTATTATTTCACATGATTCATTTTTACCAAAGTGTTAGGATATTATTCATCAAATATCGTAAGAGAATTATTTTCGGAAGTCTAATTCTATTGGTCAATTCCTACTGGTCAATATTATGGTCGTCCTAGCTATCAATGTCACGTACTTCAATGTTGTTTCCCATTGGTCGGCCTAACTGTCAATGTCACAGACTTCAAATGTTGTTTCCTATTCGACTTAAATGTATAAAAAATACACACTAACAGTAACGGTTTATGACCCAAATCCGGATCCCTAGTCCAGGGTCTTGATTCTCTTCTGGATTCGAACCTCGTACTTCCTGGATGCTTGTAGAATAGACGTTCTACTTCATATCAAGTCTTCTCCTTTTACTCAATGGGGGGGGGTCGGGACAATTGGATTAGAGTAGCCTGTTGTGTCGCTGGATCATCGATCCTCTCTCTCGTTTAATGAATAGGGGTAAACTCATAATAGTTCAAGCAGATTAACTGACGTGTTTACCTGTATGCGTAACGCAAAGACTACTATGTTAACAAATATAGAATTCACCAAAAAAAATACAATTTGTACAGTTTAAGTAAACGAACTTAGTGTAAAAACAACATTTTCTGCGCTAAATTACTTTTATTTTTTATTCCAAATTTTGTACGAATTAGAATAGGAATTCAGTTATGTAAGTTTTGACTTGAAATTAATTATTTGAATGAGAGTTTATGGAGATTGATGCATTAAATTCATTTAACGAACTAATCTAAATTAGATAACAATGAAAACCTGAAAGTACTGTGGTTGTCTGTTTTGTGTGTGTATTTAAATCTTTTGTAAGAGGATTCATGGCCATTACTTACGTCTGTCACCCCCCCCCAACACAGCATAGGCCGGTGATCAGCATCCTCCAACTTATTCTGTCCTAGTCCTTCTACAGAATTATGGTTCATTCTTTTCATATCTTTTTTCAATTCCCAACGCAATGTGTTCTTTGGTCTTCCACTTCTCTTTTGGCCTTGACGACTTCGAGTTACGGTTTGCCTCGTCATGCAGTTGGATGCTTTCCACAATGTATGTCCTTTCCACTCCCAGCACTTTTCCTATATTCCTCCTCCACCGTAATCTGGTTTTTTCTCTCCCACAATAGGTTGTTGCTGATAGTGTCTGGCCAACTGATGTGAAGTATTTTGCGTGGATAACTGTTTATGAATACTTATATCTTCTGGATGATAGTTTTCTCAGTTCTCCAAGTTTCCACACCTTACATTAGAACTGTTTTGACATTATGTTGGGGACGTTCGATCCTCAGAACTCACTTGATAAAGGTCTTAATTTTGGGTTGTATTCACGGGCTGATCATTTGACCTGGAGGTTACATTTCCCACCCGCAAAACCCTCGGCTGTGATTGGTTGATGTGTTATTTTAGTACGCTATTTTTGTGGCTCCCCC